TGCAATTTGTACCTGGACGCTGCGTCCCGGCAACAGACATCTTGAACTTCCAGAGCCCTACAGAATCCGGTGGCTGTCATTAACAGCCTTGGGAGGAAATTAGCTAAGTTGCCGGGGAGTAAATGATCTACACGCGCACAGGACGCCTTCTGCTCCAAAGCTGACAATACAAGGAACGGAGCGAACATGCCCCAAAAGACAGGTGTTGCAATGTTATTATGAAGTTGAAGGGATGAAAGGAGGCCCCTCCTGGAAACAATAACTAGTTTGAAATGCTTCGTAATAAACACGGGTGTCCTGTGTGCAGTGTTCACACAGCAGAGGAGGAATTTGAACCAGGAGCATTACAGTTCACACTCCTACCCTTCATGTTATGCCAGTTCTTTTTAAGATCAGGCAATACCATATACCGGCCCCCTCATCAGTACCAAGTGCAATTCATATGGCTGGTGAGAACTAATACAGGAGAGGTCCATCAGTGACTATTAGCCAAAAGGTCTGGATGGAACACTCTGCCTGGGGCAGTGATGCTCTTGGTGATTGGGGGGGGGGGGCAACAGTAGGAGAGCTTCTGGAGTTCTGGCCCCACTGATGGACCTCCTGAGGGCACCTGGGTTTTGGCCACTGTGTGACACAGAGTTGGACTGGATGGGCCACTGGCCTGATCCAACATGGCTTCTCTTCTGTTCTTCTGCCTGGGGCAGTGATGCTCTGTCTTCTTGGTGCTTGGGGGGCAACAGTGGGAGGGCTTCTGGAGTTCTGGCCCCACTGATGGACCTCCTGATGGCACCTGGGTTTTGGCCACTGTGTGACACAGAGTGTTGGACCGGATGGGCCACTGGCCTGATACAACATGGCTTCTCTTCTGGTCTTGTGCCTGGAGCTCTGATGCTCTGTCTTCTTGGTGCTTGGTGGGCAACAGTGGGAGGGCTTCTAGAGTTCTGGCCCTGCTGGTGGACCTCCTGATGGCCCCTGGGTTTTGGCCACTGTGTGACACAGAGTGTTGGACTGGATGGGCCACTGGCCTGATCCAACATGGCTTCTCTTCTGTTCTTCTGCCTGGGGCAGTGATGCTCTGTCTTCTTGGTGCTTGGGGGGCAACAGTAGGAGGGCTTCTGGAGTTCTGGCCCTGCTGGTGGACCTCCTGAGGGCACCTGGATTTTGGCCACTGTTTGACACAGAGTGTTGGACTGGATGGGCCATTGGTTTGATACAACATGGCTTCTCTTATGTCTGGGGCAGTGATGCTCTGTCTTCTTGGTGCTTGGGGGCAACAGTGGGAGGGCTTGTGAAGATCTGGGCCCCACTGGTGGACCTCCCAATAGCACCTGGGTTTTGGCCACTGTGTGACACAGAGTGTTGGACTGGATGGGCCACTGGCCTGATCCAGCGTGGCTTCTCTTATACTTTGGGGGGGAGGAACAGTGGGAAGGCTTCTGGAGTTCTGGCCCCACTGGTGGACCTCCTGAGGGCACCTGGGTTTTGACCACTGTGTGACAGAGTGTTGAACTGGATGGGCCACTGGCTTGATCCAGCATGGCTCTCTTAATGCTTGTGGGGGGGCAACAGTGGGAAGGCTTCTGGAGTTCTGGCCCCACTGGTGGACCTCCTGAGGGCACCTGGGTTTTGACCACTGTGTGACAGAGTGTTGAACTGGATGGGCCACTGGCTTGATCCAGCATGGCTTCTCTTATGCTTGGGGGGGGGCAACAGTGGGAAGGCTTCTGGAGTTCTGGCCCCACTGGTGGACCTCCTGAGGGCACCTGGGTTTTGACCACTGTGTGACACAGTGTTGGACTGGATGGGCCACTGGCCTGATCCAGCATGGCTTCCCTTATGTTCTTATGAGGGGACTGGATAAACATATGGTGCAGAGCTCCATGCATGATTATTAGCCACAAGGTATAGAGGGAACACTCTGTCTGGGGCAGTGATGCTCTGTTTTCTTGGTGCTCGGGGGGCAACAGTAGGAGGGCTTCTGAAGTTCTGGCCCCACCAGGGGACCACCTGGCCACTGTGTGGCACAGATCGCTGGACTGGATGGGCCATCGGCCTAATCCAACGTGGCTTCTGTTATGTTTTTACAGCCCTGTGCCAGTGATCCCCAATGGCCCACGCGTGCCATGGCACCCAGAGCAGCACTTTTGTGGTTCTGCTTGCTTCTTGAATCTTGGGGATAAAATCCAAAGAGTCCTGCTGGGAAAAGAGGTAGTTTGTCACTCTGCAGGACCATTTTCTCTCATATGTACCTGCCTACAGAAATTAGGATAGAAGGAAGAGGCCCTTCCTGACTGTGCCATTGACCAAAGAACCTCGTCTGGTGGGCACACAACAAAGAGCCTTTTCAGTGGTAGCCCCACAACAATGGAACAACCTCCCCAGAGAGGTGTGCCTGGCTCCAATGCTCCCTCTAAGCTGTGGAGTCTTGTGAGCAAAAATTCTACTTTGTGAGCTACTCGCATTAAAAGTTGTGAGCGACTTGGCTGTCGCATGAATTAGTCTGCTCTGGAGCCCTCCTTCCTGAGCCCAGACAAAAACGTGTGAGCCGGAGGCTAAAAAACTGTGAGCTAGCTCACACTCACTCAGCCCAGAGGGGACACTGGCTGGCTCCCTCACTCGTCTCGGTCTTTAGGAGGCAGTGGAAGATGGTTTTTATTCAGGACTGCATTTGATTGAAGCAGTCCCAAACTGGATTTAAATTTGGGGGTTTATATACATATTTTTATGTACTTTATATTGTAAGCCGAGTTGAGCCTGGTAAGGAAGAAAGGTAGCTAATAATTTTTTTAAATAAATAAATCACAAATTCTAGAGTTCACCCTCGGCAGGGACATCGTAGGCATGGGCCCTCGGCTATATGTCTCTGGGCTCGAAAAACTCTCCCAGCAGCCATGTGGGAAGCACCCCACCCCCCATCTTTAGAAACCGACCGCCAAGCAGCATCTCTTCTCCAGTGCAAAGAGCCAAGCCCCGCTTTCCCCCCACCCACTCTCCTTGCATCTGCAGAGAGCGCCCAATTCGAAGCAGCTGCCTTTATCCTGGGAGACGTCTTGGCACCTCCTGACATCTTGTGTGACCTTCCGGTGTTGTGATTGGCCCTGCTCCTGTGGCAGCCACAGCCTGGTAGTGCCCATGACCCTTTCTCAAAATTCCTGGCGAGCAAAAACGTTCAACAAGTGTGGAGACTCCCGCCCTAAACAGATTGGGTTCACCCATCTCCACAACAGGGATAAGGAGTGTGTGCTGCCAAGTCGCTTCCAACTTAACGGTGACCCTATGAATAAATGACCTCCAAAATGTCCTATTGTTAACAGCCTCGCTTGGGTCTTGCAAACGGAGGGCCGTGACTTCTTTGACGGAGTCAACCCATCTCACGTTGTGTCTCCCTCTTCTCCTGCGGCCTTCGGCCTTCCCCAGCGTTATTGCAGCCGTGGAATGGGCTGCCTGGGGAGGTGGTGAGCTCCCCCACACTGGCAGTCTTCAAGCAGCGGCGGGAGAAGGACATGTCAGGGATGCTCTAGACTGATCCTGCATTGAGCAGAGAGACTGGAACAGATGGCCTCTATGGCTCCTTTCAGCTCTATGATTCTGTTGTGTTTTCCAGTGAATCCTGTCATCTCATAATGTGACCAAACTTATGATCGTCTCAGTTTAGTCCACTGGTTCCCAAAGTGGGCGATACCGCCCCCTGGGGGGTGCTGGAATGATCTAGGTGAGAGGTAGGAGCCTTCGGTGCAATTGGGGGGTGTTGAATAAAAATAAGGGGGCGGTGGAAGCATAAATGCCTTTGTTAGCCGCCCTGAGCCTGCGGGGAGGGCGGGATATAAATCCAAAGAAAGAAAGAAAGAGAGGAAGAAAGAAAGAGAGGAAGAGAGGAAGAGAGAAAAAGAGAGAGAGAGAGAGAGAGAGAGAGAGAGAGAGAGAGAGAGAGAGAGAGAGAGAGAGAGAGAGAGAAAGAAAGAAAGAAAGAAAGAAAGAAAGAAAGAAAGAAAGAAAGAAAGAAAGAAAGAAAGAAAGAAAGAAAGAAAGAAAGAAAGAAAGAAAGAGTCCAGAGCCTTTTCTTGACTTCCCCTGGTCTTCCCTGGGATCTGGAAGGGAGGGGGAGAGGGGTCCTCACAGCCAAGCATTTGCAAATTGCAAGTGCATGTGCACCCTCGTAAGGCTGGTGTTGCTGCTGGGCTACTGTGTGGTGGCTGCTGGTGGCCTTCGGCTTCAGGTGCTGCTCTGTACCTGCCTTGGCCTGCCTGGCTGCATGGAACGTGGTGGACTCACTGCACAGCCAATGGGAGAGCTGGAAATGGCCAATACGTCAAGAGAATTATATATATATATAAGGTAGGTAATACCTGTTCATTCTCATAAGTGGAGATGAATGGCTATCCACCATTATAAAAATCTATATGGCGCTTTACATGGTATTTTTCAATGTGGGCTTCTTTCCGTGTGGGCTTTTATGTGTATGGGCTTTTATGTGTATGGGCTTCTCCCCCATCTGGGCATTTTTCCACGTGGGCATTTTTCCTGTGAGCATTTATGACCGTGGGGGTTTTTCTGTGGGCTTTTTTCCAGTCACCCTTTTTGTCCACTTCTTGAAGGCCGATTTCCAGGGGTGCGCTGAGCAATGTTCCCTCTAAGCTCTGCAGTCTTGTGAGCAAAAATTCTACTTTGTGAGCTACTGGCATTAAAGTTGTGAGTTAGCGATTTGGCTCCTGCATAAATTAGTTTGCTCTGGAACCCTCCTTCCTGAGCTAAGACAAAAAAACGTGTGAGCCAGAGGCTAAAAAACTGTGAGATAGCTCACACTAACTCAGCTTAGAGGGAACACTGGCACTGAGTAATATATATTTTTTTCTGAAAAGGGGGCAGTAGGCCAAATAGGGAACCTCTGGTTTAGTCAATGGGGAGAGACTGCTCTGAAATGCTGTTGGTTCTGAAAATGAGAACAGAGCACCCGCCGGCCAAGACTCAAAAAGTGTTGTTTTATTTAGTTACATGGCAAATACAGAAATATAAACGTTCTAAGGTTGGGGAGGGAAAGCCGTTCAGTCAGCTGAGCCCAGGGGGAGTCCGCTAGCTATACAGCACGCGGGCATGTCTCGCGATACCTCCCTATACTGTAGGAGATGGCACTTCCCCATATTCTTCTCCTCTACAGGATTGGGGTTAGGCCACGCAAACCAGGTGCAGAGCTGAACGACTCTTACGGGATCCCTCTCTCAGCACACAGACCAGGACACGCAGAGGCACGTGGGGGGAAAAAACTGTAGAAGTTCCAACTAACAACATACAAGAACTCTGCCTTTAGAAACAATGCAACAAGGACCTCTGGAAAGGGACCGCTTCAGTTCCCGAGATGCAAAGTGCAGCTCTGGGGTCAGAAGAGCGTTTTCACGTCCACCTGGCACACGGGCCACCTGCCAAATCCGCGCTCCCTTTTCCTCCTTAATCCTGCCTGCTTCACAAGACTGTGATGTACAGTTTAAAAAAAAAAAGAGTTCTGAGCTATTGGAAAACTCTCAGCAGGATAACGTTTGGGTCTTGGCTCATTGATGCAGACCTGTTGAGACTGAATTCCCCAGGGGGCACAGCATAAAGTGGTAACCCCTCCAAAAACCCCAATGGCAAACTGAACGCACAACTAATGCAAGACAGGTCTAGAGTCATCTACACCCATCTAAGTATGCAGTGCTTACTTCTTTTCTGGAACACTTGGCAAAAAAACCACCCCTCCCTTTGTGGTTACCTGCTGGCTGGCCTGTTCGTACAACATGAACCCTTTGAGATGACAACAGTCAGGTTAGGACTGCTTGAATGCAAAGGCGGATAGCTTCTGGATCCCCATCTGGTCAGCGGGTTTGGGTTTTTTGGCCGAGCTGTTGTTCTCTTCCGATTTTTGTTCTGGGCTTTCTTGACCGTCGCCGTTAACACTTTCTGGGTGCTTTCTCTTTTTCCTTTCGCCCGAATCACCAGCTTCTCTTCCTTTGGCTCTCTCAGTCCAAGTCTGAAGGGAACAGGGGGGAAAACCCACAACTAACAATGAATTATTGTTATGGTAGAGGGAGAGGCTGTACATTGCAGAAGCTGGAAAAGAATCCACACAGGGACCACCAGTTTGGGCTTCCTGTGTTTCTTGGCAGTCCAAGTGGAAGGAGTAAAAACGTAAGAACATAAGAGAAGCCAATGCTGGACCAGGCCAATGGCCCATCCAGTCCAACACTCTGTGTCATACAGTGGCCAGAAATACCAGGGGCCATCAGGAGGTCCAGCAGTGGGGCCAGGACAGTAGGAGCCCTCCCACTGTCCCCCGTCCCCCCCCAAACACCAAGAATACAGAGCATCACTTGCCCCAGAGTCCCTATCTATACCTTGTGGCTAATAGCCACTGATGGACCTCCATACGCTTATCTAATTCCCTCTTGAAGCTGTCCATGCTTGTAGCCGCCGCCACCTCCTGTGGCAGTGAATCCCATGTGTTAATCACTCTTTGGGTGAAGAAGTACTTCCTTTTATCTGTTCTAAGCCAACCGCTCAGCCATTTCATGGAGTGCCCACGAGTTCTTGTATTGTGAGAAAGGGAGAAAAGTACCTCTTTCTCTACCTGCTCTATCCCAATGCATAATCTTGTAAACTTCGATCATGACACCCCTCAGCCATCGTTTCTGCAAGCTAAAGAGCCCCAAGCGCCTTAACCTTTCTTCATAGTAAGATGACACCACTGAGCTATAACTGGATCAGACCAAGGATCCATCCAGTCCTGCATCCTGTTTGACACAGTGGCCCACCAGATGCTCCAGGAAGGACCCAAACTCCTTCGCTTTTCTTCATAGGGAAGGAACTCTAATCCCTCGGTCTTTTTGGTTGTCCTTTCCTACGTCTGATACAGCAGGGAGCCAGTTTGGTGTCGTGGTTAAGTGCGCGGACTCTGATCTGGGAGAAACGGGTTTGATTCCCCACTCCTCCACTTGCACCTGGTTGGCTGACCTTGGGCAAACCGTAGTTCTGTCAGAGCTGTTCTCTCAGGAGCAGTTCTTGAGAGAGCCTCTCTCGGCCCCACCTACCTCACAGGGTGTCTGTTGTGGGGAGGGGAAGGGAAAGGAGTTTGTAAGCCGCTCTGAGACACCTTTGGGTAGGGAAGGGCGGGGTATAAATCCCATCCCTTCTTTTTCTTCTCCTTCTTCCTGGTGCCCGCCAAGGGTTTTTTTGTAGAAAAATGGCTGGGGCCAGGTGGGGCTTTTGCTCAGCTACTCTGAACAACAAGAGGAGTCTCGGCAGCAAGGCGGAGGTCAGAGTTAAAGCAAAAGTGAAGCCATGTGTGATAGCTATTTCAAATGCTTTTTAAGGTTGTAAATCGCCCAGAGCCTGCTTGCAGGGTGGGCGATTCATAAGTTCAATAAAATAAATGAATGAATGAATGAATGAATGAATGAATGAATGAATGAAGCACACTGGTCGCACTCAGCTTCCTGGGGAAGTTTCCACACACAATCCTAGAACTTGGGTGTACGTTTTTGTATGCTTTGTTCGTGCTGTTCTCCTTCACAGCTTTGCTCCCCTCCCCTCCTCCACTGACACAGCCCTTTAAAAGGGCCAATATTCACCATTTCATCTGCTTGTTCTTGAGATTCATCCATCTCGCTCTATATTCTTCCAGCAGGTGATGACTCCCCCCCCCCCCCCCGGCGCAGGTGAAGACCTTTTTTTTCCATTTGGCATATCCCCAATAATGGTTACTGGCCCTCTTCTTGTATCGTCTGTTATGTCTTTGAATTGAATTACTTTATAGTTTTCAACGCTTGTTTTCAATTGTTCAAATGTTTTTAAATGTAAGCTGCCTTAGGGATCCCTGATCGTGTGAAAAGACGACACAAAACATGTTTTAAGTAATAATGATAAATAATAACTGGGGAGATCAGAAGTTTCTACAATGCAGTGTTATTTAGGCAATATCGCACCAAATATCGGACTCTGTTGTGAGCATTCCAGGAAAGGCTGGGCAAAACTGAAATAAGATATGTCAAGTGGTTGGTCTGGACCATGGAAAGCACAGGGGCGACTGAAACACCAGAATACTCCAAGTATGAACGACCAACCAAAAGACAAAACCCCGCCAACAAGATGCCACTACATAAGAACATCAGAAGAGCCCTGCTGGATCAGAACAGGGGTTGGTCTAGTCCAGCATCCCGTCTCACACAGTGGCCAGCCAGTTCCTCTGGAGGGCCAACCACAGGGCAGAGAGGCCGAGGCCTTCATCAGAACATCAGAAGAGCCCTGCTGGATCAGACCAATAGCCCATATAGTCCAGCATCCTGTCTCACACGGTGGCCAACCAGTTCCTCTGGAGGGCCAACAGCAGGGCACAGAAGCCGAGGCCTTCATAAGAACATCAGAAGAGCCCTGCTGGATCAGAGCAGTGGTCCATCTAGTCCAGCCTCCTGTCTCACACAGTGGCCAACCAGTTCCTCTGGAGGGCCAACAACAGGGCAGAGAGGCCAAGGCCTTCATCAGAACATCAGAAGAGCCCTGCTGGATCAGAGCAGTGGTCCATCTAGTCCAGCCTCCCGTCTCACACAGTGGCCAACCAGTTCCTCTGGAGGGCCAACCACAGGGCAGAGAGGCCGAGGCCTTCATAAGAACATCAGAAGAGCCCTGCTGGATCAGACCAATAGCCCATATAGTCCAGCATCCTGTCTCACACGGTGGCCAACCAGTTCCTCTGGAGGGACAACAGAAGGGCAGAGAGGCCAAGGCCTTCATAAGAACATCAGAAGAGCCCTGCTGGGTCAGACCAGTGGTCCATCTAGTCCAGCCTCCCGTCTCACACAGTGGCCAACCAGTTCCTCTGGAGGGCCAACAACAGGGCAGAGAGGCCAAGGCCTTCATCAGAATATCAGAAGAGCCCTGCTGGATCAGACCAGTGGGTCCATCTAGTCCAGCCTCCCGTCTCACACAGTGGCCAACCAGTTCCTCTGGAGGGCCAACCACAGGGCAGAGAGGCCAAGGTCTTCATCAGAACATCAGAAGAGCCCTGCTGGATCAGACCAGTGGGTCCATCTAGTCCAGCCTCCCGTCTCACACAGTGGCCAACCAGTTCCTCTGGAGGGCCAACCACAGGGCAGAGAGGCCGAGGCCTTCATAAGAACATCAGAAGAGCCCTGCTGGATCAGACCAGTGGTCCATCTAGTCCAGCCTCCCGTCTCACACAGTGGCCAGCCAGTTCCTCTGGAGGGCCAACCACAGGGCAGAGAGGCCGAGGCCTTTATCAGAACATCAGAAGAGCCCTGCTGGATCAGACCAGTGGTCCATCTAGTCCAGCCTCCCGTCTCACACAGTGGCCAGCCAGTTCCTCTGGAGGGCCAACAACAGGGCAGAGAGGCCGAGGCCTTCCTCTGAGGTTGCCTCCTGGTTCTGGGATTCAGGGGCTTAGTGCCTCTGAATGTGGACATTCCCCTCTGCCACCAGGGCTAGTAGCCATTGATAGATACCCTCCATGAATCTATCTAATTCCCGTTTTAAAGCTGTTTATTCCCGTGGCCATCACTACAGCCTACGGCAGCAAATTCTACATTCTAATCACTCTCCGTGTAAAGAAGTATTTCCTTTTCTCCATCCTGAACCTACTGCCCCATCAGAACCTACTTACCATCCTTTCTTCAGGAGACAGCACTCTGAATCGAGCCATGCCTTCTCGTATTATCTCAGTTTCTTCAAAATCAGCATTATCTGCCAAAATGAGGCTTCTGTTCTCTTCCAGCCACATCTGGAATCCGGTCTTTGGCCTAAGAAGAATGCAAAGATTCTCTGATACGGGAAAACATTTTGAAGTGAAGCACCTACATTTCTTCTAGAAAGCTTCTCTGTCTGCTTGCTGTTAGCAGCACTGCAAATTGCAATAGCCTCAAAGTGGCGTCCCAACAAAGTTCCATCAGTAAGATCCCCGCAGGGCCCTGATCTCGATGGGGAGCATGTTCAGGCGGGGGGCAGTGCAGAAAAGGCCCTGGCCCTGGTTGAGGCCAGACGGACGTCTTTTGGGCCAGGGACCGCCAGGAGATGTTGATTACTAGAGCATAAAGCTTCACTGAGGCGTATACGGGAAGAGGCGGTCCCTTAGATATGTTGGTCCCAGGCCGTATAAGGCTTTGAAGGAAAGCTTCCGATGGGTGGCCGCACTGGTCTGCCAAACGAGAGCAAGATTCGACCCAAGGAGCACCTTCAAGACCAACCAGTTTTTCAGGAATGGAGCTTTATACCCTGGAAGCTCATAACGCGGAAACCTTGTTGGTCTTTTAAGGTGCTGCTGGGCCCAAATCTTGCTGTCCTATTAGAGGAAACTATTCCTGGGACCATAGCCTAAGCTGCTCCAGTTGAAGCAATTCACAAAACCAAACAAGGACCCACGGTAAGTAGGAAAACCAACATACAACAAGTACCGTGCACAGATGATTATAACATATCATAAATGATTTTATATTTTTTGAAAAATATTTTTACAATAAATGTGTACATATATAATAAATCTTCTTAATCAAAAATATCAAAAATCATCTCCAAGAATCTCAAAAGCTATTGTACAACCTTTAATAATAGTCCTCCTCTGTTAAATAAAGTTTCAAGAGGGAGGACTCCTTAAAGTCTCTTTATAACATGTGCTCGTGTCTTCCTCCAACAGAGGTCCAGATATCCTTCTGTTTCCGAATCTTCCTCAGGGAGTTCAACAATAAGAGATTCTTGGAGATGATTTTTGATATTTTTGATAAAGATGATTTATTATATAGGTACAAATTATTGTAAAAATATTTTTCAAAAAAATATAAAATCATTTATGATATGTTATAATCATCTGTGCTCCAGTTGAAGCGACAAAAGATATTTGGGTACCTTTTGTCTTCACCATTCTCAGTCGAAGCCTGGGTTTCAGGTGGTGCCGCTTCAGTTTTTGCTCCTTTCTCGTCCGTGGTGGTTTTCTTCTCAGAGCTGGGTGTTCGGGGTTGGAAAAACGCAGCTGCTGCAGCCTATATAGATATTTCGAGAATTCACAGTCAATGTGTGATATGTGCACTAAAACGCTGCGTTAGCTCTTTGGGGAGAGGGCCTGTCGCCCCACAACATTAAGCACGTCTCGGCAAAGACAGAGTGTCTCTGTGAATACTTTTGTAGCTGGGAGGTTCAAATGCACTATCAACGGCATGTACACATTCAAGCATCGACTCAGTGTGTGACAGCAATAAAAAAGGCAAATGCTATGCTGGGGGTTATTGGTGCAGCCTCATTTGGGAAAACAGTGTACAGTTCTGGTTACCGCACCTCAAAAAAGATACTACAGCGGTGGAAAAGGTGCAGGAAAGGGCAACTAAAATGATTAAGGGGATGGAACGCTTTCCCTATGAAGAAAGGTTAAACAGGTTAGGGCTCTTAAGCTTGGAGAAATTATGGCTGAGGAGTGACATGATAGAGTTTTACAAAATTATGCATGGGATAGAGCAAGTAGAGAAAGAAGTCCTTTCTTCCCTTTCTCACAATACAAGAACTCGTGGGCACTCCATGAATTGAATGAGCTAGGCTTAAAAAATATAAGAGGAAGTACTTCTTCACCCAAGGAGTAATGAACCCACGGAATTCACTGCTGCAGGAAGCGGTAGCGGCTACAAGCACAGACAACTTTGAGAAGGGATTGGATAAACATATGGAAGCAGAGGTGCATCAGTGGCTATTAGCCACAAGGTATAGAAGGAACACTCTGTCTGGGGCAAGTGATGTTCTGTATTCTTGGTGCTTGGGGGCCACAGTGGGAGGGCTTCTGGAGTTCCAGCCCCACTGGTGGACTTCCTGATGGCTCCTGGGTTTTGGCCGATGTGTGACACAGAGTTGGACTGGATGGCCCACTGGCCTGATCCAACATGGCTTCTCTCATGTTCTTAAGTGGCATTTGCACATACATTTTGTGTCTGCGCACACTGTTCTTTTATCCTGAAAGACTGTGGATGCAGCAGGGTGAATGAAGACTGTCTGGCCATATGCTCTTTCCCCAAATTTATTTATTTATTTATTCGATTTACACCCCGCCCTCCCCGCAGGCGGGCTCAGGGCAGCTTACAACATTGGCACCAGTTGCCAATTGAGATACAACCTCCCCAACCCTCCAAATACACCTGAGGAAGACAGAAGACCTTACTTCCAGCGTACGAAACGCGTGTGTGTAAAATGCCGACAAGTCGCAACCAACTTACGGTGACCCCAGAGAGGGACTTTCAAGATAAGTGAAGAGCAGAGGTGGTTTGCCATTGCCTTCCTCTGCAGAGTCTTTCTTGGCGGTCTCCCCTCCAAGTACCAAGCCTGCTGATTCCCAGATAGGGCTACAGCATTCTAATTTCCCTCCCGTATGAAATATTACCTTGTTCAAACATATTTTTCCTTTCAGCTCCTCTGCATTTGATGGACGGGCACTGAAGTGCTTGTAAACTGTCTCTAAATTGTGACAGGACGTTTTGAAGGTCATTAACTCATAGGGTCACGGTAAGGAGAAAGCAACTTGGCAGCACAAAACACACACGTGAAGGGTGCCCAGAGAACAGAAAGCAAACAAACAAAAAATCAATTGGTTTCACTTGACTTTACATCCAGCCAGAAACCTTGCCTGCACACCTGGGGCAGGTACTAGTTGTCACTTGGAGAGCGATACATGCACCTGCCTGCTCATCTGCTTGTGCCGGGCCAGGCACTGAAGCATTGTGCTTTGTTGTTCCCGACACCCATTAACCAGCTGAGAAATAACAAGAGCAAAAAAAAGCCCAGACTTCCAAGTTATCAAAGTTCCTTTGCCTGGTCATCTGGAGGCAATGCTGATGAGCCATTTAAGAAGAATTACTTCCCAAATCTAACTTCAGAGATTAAAAACATAAGAGAAGCCAGCGTTGGATCAGGCCAATGGCCCGTCCAGTCCAACACTCTGTGTCACACAGTGGCCAAAAATACCAGGTGCCATCAGGAGGTCCAGCAGTGGGGCCAGGACACTAGAAGACCTCCCACTGTTTTAACTGGAGATGCTGCTGGGAATTGAACCTGGGACCTTCTGCATGCCAAGCAGAGGCTCTACTACTGAGCCATGGCCCGTCTTGACAGCTCTCTAGGGTCTCAGGCGGAGGTCTTAAGAACATAAGAGAAGCCAATGCTGGATCAGGCCAATGGCCCATCCAGTCCAACATTCTGTCACACAGTGGGCAAAAATACCTGGTGCCATCAGGAGGTCCAGCAGTGGGGCCAGGACACTAGAAGCCCTCCCCACTGTTGCCCCCCCCCTCCAAGCACCAGGAATACAGAGCATCACTTGCCCCAGACTTTCAAATCACCTCCTGCTTGGTCCTTTTTAACTGGAGATGCCGGGGACCGAACCTGGGTTCTTCTGAATGCCAAGCAGAGGCTCTACCGCTGAGCCACAGCCGTGTCGGTTAGCCGTGTTGGTCTGCAGTAGAACAGCTAGATTTGAATCCAGTAGAGACCAACACAATTTGTGAGGTATAAGCTTTTGACGGATACCAGCTATTCCCAAGTCTAAATGGACAGGAAGTGATCTTTTCATGGCCCTTAGCCGTTTCCTGTCTCCACTACCCCCCCCCCCAATATTTCATGAAGTTTGTAACATCCTCTGCACACGGTATGGACTAGCAACAGTCAGCCGGTGTGGTACAGGGGCTAGAGTGTAGGACTGGGACTCGGGGTAACCAGGTTCGAATCCCTGCTCTACCATGGAAGCTGACCAGCTGACCCTGGGCCTGCCACGCCCTCGAAAAGGGTTGTTGTTGTGAGAATAGTGGGGCGGGGGAGAATAATGGGGTACGCCACTTTGGGTCCCCACTGGGGAGAAAAACAGAACAGAAATAACACTGGAGCTGCTGATCACCTGTTTGGACTTGGGCTTGGGAACCAGCGGTTTTATCACGGGGCCTTTCTCCTTGCTCGCTGTGGTCCGCCTGGTCGGTGCGGGATTTTTCTTCGGCAGTCTGGTCATGTTGTCTAAGATGCTCGTCGAGTGAGCTACGGGATCCTTTTGGCTACTGGACACCTAGAGCAGCAAATGTTCAGAGAGAGTTTTGAGATGAGAACTTGCTTTTCCTTTCAGAGCTTCCACTGCGTTTACTTTAAAAATCAGATCAAGACGGGTAGCCGTGTTAGTCTGTAGCAGGAGATCAGAGCAAGAGCCCAAGCAGGACCTTAAAGACTAACAAAATATATGGCAAGGGATGAGCATCCGTGAGTTGCAGCTCACTTCTATGGAGATGGATCAACACGGATAGCCGTGTTTGTAGCAGCAGAAACGAGCAACAGTCCAGGAACACCTTAAAGACTAACAAAATTGGTGGCAGGGAAGGAGCTTTCATGAGTCACTATCTAAGGAAATGAGCAGTGACTCACAAAAGCTCCTCCCCTGCCACCAATTTTGTTAGTCTTTAAGGTGCTTGTGACGACCCCTTAACTGGGTAGGTCTGGTTTCCCTTTAAAGTGTTGTTTAGGTTTTATTTTATTATGTGTATCCGGCTGCCACCAGGAAATTTATAAGGCTTTCCAAACCTTTATGCTTTACTATTTCTATCACAGGGTAGGTGGATCGAGGGTTTAAGCTTTCGAGGAACTATGTGGTCTGAGGAAGGATTCTTTCCAGAGCTGGTATACTTGAATGAAATAGGATTTATTTAAAGAAAACATAAATATGAGGGTAGAACCATGTAAGTAGTAAAGTAGGTATAACACACAGTCTGCTCCCTACTGACAGGGATTTTTCCTTAGGTAATTTTGTAACACTTTTTCCTCCAAGTCCATATAATCTTTACTGTTTCCTAGACACTCAGCTTCGGCTTATAACTGTTTCAACACAGAACTGCTTGTCACTTTCTTTCAGACACAGCACTTAACTCTCATATCACACACAAGAAGGTCTCTCCTTCAGACCCCAGAACTAAACTCATCCCACACAGGGATGGGTCTCACTCCTCTCATACCCAGAACTTCTGCTTCTCTCCCAGAAATCAGAACTTAACTGACTTTTAACTGTCATCTCACTAACTAACACTCTTGGCTGACATATCTGCTCATCCACACAGAATCATTTCCAAAACCCCTCCCCCTCTCTGTCACTCACCACTCACACCACTTGCCTGTTTAAATCACACTAGACTATCACACAGGCATGCAACCAAACTTTTAAAGACACATACACACAGTTAAACATGAAATCATTACAGTGCTACTGGACTCTTGCTCTTTTCTACTGCTACAAACAGACTAACATGGCTACCCATCTCGATCTATCTCCACGGAAGGTACCACATTTAGTCACACAGCATGGAAATCCCATCAACCTCGTGGAGAAACATGCAAAGGTACAAACAGACATCATCTTCCTCACCAAATGCAGAAGACTTAGCATTACACCAAAGGGACTGAGAATAAAAACCAGAGTTTAATTAAATCATAAAAAATCATCACCTTGAACGGATTGACTCGTCCTTGGCTGTTGGATACAATGACAGCTTTCGCTACCCAAACAAAAGAAAAAGGGGGGAGGGAGAGAGGAGGAAATACCTTTAGAAAACCATACAGAAAAACACGTGTGTTACATTTTGGAGAAAAGGGTACCGAGAGGATGAGCGATCAAAAACTAGGCACAGGACTGTGTTCATCCCCACTTTCTTCTACGGCTGCCATGCTTGGGCTGAGCATGACATGACAGTGGCCGTTTTGACAATTCCACCTTTATTCTTTTCAAAAAGGTTTTTCGCTCTCAAGGCTGCTGAGAAAATCCTCAGAGCTCAGTCTTCTGGCTGTCTGTGAAGAGTTGCTGCCGTCTCAGCATCTGAACGAATGCAAGCCCGATCGGCAGAGGGCTCTGGGGACAGACTTTATCGGGGGCCGTTCCCACTCACTGTCCCTATTCTCAGGAGCCAGCGTGTCATTATCAGACATGGCTTCGTGGAGGCTACGGACTTTGGAACTTCTGAAGTCTATCCCAGTGGTGATCAAGATAGCACACGGTAGGGACCCTGGTCGGATCGTCGTGACCAGACATTTATTTATTTTTGAGATTCTCATTCCGCCCTCCCCAAAGCGGGCTCAGGGCGGGTCACAAGAAACTGCGTCCGAGACTCGTTACATAAAATCACATTAAAGTCATTAGAACAAGAAGCAATTAAAAAATCACACAGGCTGTGACCAATCTAAATCTGCTAGAGCCACAAGATGGAATCAAATGGGCCCCGTCAGCAGACTGGGAACTAAAGCAGGGAGGGCCAGCTACGGCAGATGCCCGCTGCCTCACCCAAAGGCCTGGTGGGACAGCTCTGTTTTGCAGGCCCTGCAGGACACGTGCTCCATGCCGTCGCTCTGACCCTCCTGTCAGATCTTGCACGGTGCTGCGGAATCACAGCATGGGTAAAACATCTCTGAACCAGAGCAACACCTGGATGCCAGATGTTGCAGCGGAACAACGGCCGTTGCAACTCTTTCCGAACCGTTTCTTGCCTTTCCCCAGCACACTATACAACATGGGTGACATCTGCAAGAAGTTTAAGAACCCACCCCGGTTACGTGAAGGAAGCTGTGCATTTATAACATGTCAAAGTTTTAAAGGAAGGCAACACTCTACAGATTTTTTCAGGGTTGAGACTTTGTACTTCCACAGCACAGAAGAGGTAAGTCCGAGGCAGCAGGAACAAGATCATAATACAGTGGTCCCCAATGGGGTACCCACCGACACCTTTCCTGACACTCACCAAGTGCTTTTAGAATGTGGGCAGGGTCAGGTGGGACTTTTGCCCCGCAAAACTTCTGATTGGCTGTGCAGATTTTAAAGGCATCCTGGGAAACAGAGCTTCTGGCTAAAATGTTAAAGGGTTACTACTGGAGCTATCCATAGCCTCGCTCCATTCTGTGGTTGGCTCCGCCTCCAGCGGCAGCCATTTTGTGGCTAGCTCCGCCTCCTGTGGCAGCCATTGTGCAGTCGCACCCACCACACTGATTCCAAAGGTGCCTGCAGGATCAGAAAGGCTGGGGACCCCATCACAACATATGTGTCCATTAAATCAGCCCATGTAACAAAAGGGGAGGACACAACACAGGTGACTGGATCCAAAATAAGAAGAGAACCAACGGTTATGGAATTCTCCCTTGCCTGGAATAAATTTAATCCGACTTACCAGACTTGGAGAGGGTTGCATTTCTGCACTGTGGGGGGTCGTGAGTCACTACAGAAGAGGGGGAAATGGATAGTAAACAATACAGATCAGTGAGATCTAAGTATTTACCAGCGTACCCATTAACGTTGCCCGTTTACGTTAGGGTTGGAAAGTGCCGTCAAGTCGCAGCCAGCTCACGGTGACCCCATAGGGCTTTCAGGGCAAGAGCTGGACAGGGGTGGGTTGCCATGGCCTGCCTCTGCATAGCAGCCCCGGACTTCCTTGCTGTTCTCCCGTCCGAGTAACCAAGCAGGGTGGACCCTGTTTAGCTTCCAAGATCAGGCCAGCCTAAGGATGCAAGTCCCCAGGTGGGGGCTCCCCCCAGATGCCAGCGGGGAGAAGCCCCACCCCCAACAGCCACCCGTGGCCCCGCCTGAAAAGAGCGGGGGCTGCCCGCTCCTGCCCTACCAGCAGCGAATTCACAGCTTGCAGGATAGGCACACGGGTACCCGTTTTTGTCAACTGAGGGCCATGCGCGCCTACCCTGCAAGTGGTGAATTCAAGTGCTTGCTTGTTCCCCAACCATTTAAAGGGAAGAGCCTGGAGCACTGCAGGATGTGGGGCTCTTGTTCTCTCCACCCCACACTTTCCCAAGTGCCGAAACAGCCACCCACCTCCCTATGGCTGTTTCAACAAAATTTTTAAAATCTCCTTTAAATGGTGGTGGTGTCCTTGTGTTGGACCCACGGATGCCGTCACATCTAGCCTGACCCTGAGCAGAGAAGCCTCCCCATCCTTCAGGATCTGAGAAACAGGTCTATGCAAACGTCTCAATACCCTATTTATTCATTTCATTTATACCTCACCTTTCCCCCCAATGGGGGCCCAAGGTGGCTTACGTCATTCTCCTTCTCTCCTCCAGTTTATCTTCGCAACAGCTCTACGAGGTAGCCTTGGCTCAGAGTGCATGACTGGTCACTCAGCAAGCTTGAACACGTGAAGATATACCAGGACCAATGCTCCCTCTAAGCTGTGGAGTCCTGTGAGCAAGAATTCTACTATGTGAGCTACTGGCAATAAAGTGGGGGGAGAGCGATTTGGCTGCTGCATCAGTTAGTTTGCTCGGGAGTCATCCCTTCCTGAGCTGAGACAAAAACCTGTGAGCTGGAGGCTAAAAAACTGTGAGCCAGCTCACACTCACTCAGCTTAGAGGGAACACTGACCAAGACACAGGAACACACGAAACTGCCGCCTTATCCTGAATCAGATCCTTGGTCCATCAAAGTCAGCATTGCCTACTCAGACTGACAGCAGCTCTCCAGGGTCTCAGGGAGAGAGACCCATCACCTACTGCCTGCTCAACTGGACATGTGAAGGACTGAACCTGGGACCTTCTACATGCCAAGCAGATGCTCTGCCACTGCGCCACGGTCCCTCCATGGCGCAGTGGGGATTCAAACCAGGTTCTGGCCCAAGGGTGCCGAAACTGGAGCTCGGGAGCCGCACGCGGCTCTTTCGTACATATTGTGCGGCTCCCGACAGGGCGGCTGGGGAAGCTAAATATCATTAAAAAGGTAAAGGTTCCCTTGCTTGAAAGCCAGTCGACTCCAACTCTAGGGTTGCGGTGCTCATCTCCGTTTCAAAGGCGAAGAGCCAGCGCTGTCCGAAGACGTTTCCGTGGTCATGTGGCCGGCATGACTAAACACCAAGGCGCACGGAACGCTGTTACCTTCCCACCGAAGTGGTCCCTATTTATCTACTTGCAGTTTCTTGCTTTCGAACTGCTAGGTTGGCAGGAGCTGGAACTAGAGACGGGAGCTCACTCCGTCACGCGGCACACTCGGGTCTCGAACTGCTGAACTACCGACCTTCCACGGCCTGCAGTTCAGCGGCTTAACCACTTGAGCCCCCGCAGCTCCTTGCTAATGTCATTAGCAAACAAATTATTATTGGGCAATTAAATAGCATTATCGGTATCTGCTTTTACCCCTTCTGCTTATTATTTCTGGCAGTCTCGTTTAATGTTAATAAAAAGCAACTCTGCATATTTACCAGTAAAAACGTGTAATATCTGTCCATGTGTGGCGGCTCTCAAACCCCTGACGTTTATTCCACGTGGCTCTTACGTCAAGTGCGTTTGGCCACCCCTGTCCTAGCCCAACATTCAAACCGCGACACCACGCTGGCTGTCTAGCCTGTGCAAAATGTGTGTGTGTGGGTGCATGTCTCACTTGGCTTTGCCTCTTCAGAGACGTCTTCTTCTTCTTCGCCCTCCTCCGCTTCCGAACTGGCTTCCGTGCTTTGCTGGCGCTGGAGGCTCCTGACTTTGCTCTGACTCCATTCTGTGGGGGTGTTACTGTAACTGGGGCGAAAAGACTGACTAAGCACACAACCTGAAGGTTGACGGTGAAGAAACAGAAATACTTCAAGACTTTTCTACCTTTCTCACAAGACAAGAACTCATGGGCACTCAATGCAATTAATGAGCAGAAGGCTTAGCACCAATAAAACAATGTACTTCTTGACTCAAGAGTGGTTAAGAACATAAGAACATAAGAGACGCCAATGTTGGATCAGGCCAAAGGCCCATCTAGTCCAACACTGTCACACAGTGGCCAAAAATACCAGGTGCCATCAGGAGGCCCACCAGTGGGGCCAGGACATTAGAAGCCCTCCCACTGTTCACCCTCCCAAGCACCAAGAAGACAGAGCATCACTTGCCCCAGAGCCCCTATCTATACCTTGTGGCTAATAGCCACTGATGGACCTCTGCTCCATATGCCTATCTAATTCCCTTTTGAAGCCATCCATGCTTGTAGCCACCACCACCTCCTGTGGCAGTGAATTCCATGTGTGAATCACTCTTTGGGTGAAGAAGTACTTCCTTTTATCCGTTCTAACCTGACCGCTCAGCAATTTCATGGAGTTTCATGGATTAACACATAGAATTCACTGCCACAGGGAGTGATGGCAGCTACAAGCAAAGACAACTTCAAGACGGGATTGAATAAATTTATGGAGCAGATGTCCATCAATTGCTATTAGCCACAAGCTTTAGATGGAATGCTCTGTCTGGGGCAGTGATGCTCTGTCTTCTTGCTTGGGGGAGCAACAGTGGGAGGGCTTCTGGAGTTCTGGCCTCACTGGTGGACCTCCTGATGGCTCCCGTGCTTAGGCCACTGTGTGACAGAGTGTTGGACTAGATGGGCCACTGGCCTGATCCAACATGGCTTCTCTTATGTCCTTAAATCAGGAGGTTGAGACTGGGAAGGGCAGCCATGAAGGAGCTATCCTTAAGTGTAAGGATGTGTCACTGGTGACCAAGACCAAGATAATTCATGCCATAGTATTCTCCATTGCTATGTAGGGATGTGAAAGTTGGGCACTGAAGGAAGCTGACAGGTAGAAAGTGGATTCCATTTGAAAAGCTGTGTTGAAGGAAAGTTTTACAGATACCATGGACCACCAAAAACACGAATCAGTGGGCTCTAGACAATCAAGCCTGAACTCTCCCTAGAAGCTAAAATGACCCAACTGAGGCGATCAGACTTTGGCCGCATTATGACAAGACAAAAGTCACTGGAAAAGACAATAACGCTGGGAAACGCTGAAGGCTGCAAGAAAAGAGGGAGAAACCAACGTGAGACGGACTGACACCGTAAAGGAAGCCATGGCCCCCAGTTTGCAAAACCTGACCAAGACTGTTAGCAATAGGACACTTCGGAGATCATTCATTCGTTGGGCTGCCGTAAGTCAGAAGCGACTTCATAGCACTTAACACACACAGGAAGGAAACAGAATAAAGGAAGAGGACAGAGAACTGTTCTCTCCAGACAGACAGGGGGGAAACAGCCACACCTGTAGGAAGGAGGAGACATATGCCAATGTGCATTTAATAATAATAATCTTTCAATTTCAATTGATGGGAGAGGTCCACTGGAGACCTGATCATTTCCCCAATGATATTTTGTCTCTTTTACCCAGCATTCAGGTGGCTTCTGAAATCCTCCTCCTCTTCCTCGCCAGGTTCTTCAACAGCTGCCAGCTCAGCTGATTTCTCTGCTGCCAGCTCGCTCAGCCTCTGGGCAAGGTTAAGTTTCCGAGAGCGCGAGGCATACTTGACGGCCAAACTCATGGCGTTCTGGGTCATCAGCTCCGCCAGCTCCATGCAGCGGAATTCACGTTCCAGCGTGCAGGAAAGCTACGTTTGAAAAGAAAATAAATCCCCTTTAATATTTATCGAGAGAAATTCCTCTTGAAATCCGTAAAGACGGGAACAAAAGGTGTCACTGTCGACGTCTCACTGGGAAGACCTACTCCTTTGGCCCCATTTATGCTTTGAAAGATAAAAATTGAGGGTGGGGAACTCAATTTTTAAAATTATTATTATTTACAAAGGTTGTATCCGGCCTTTCTGCTGTCACAAAGACCACCAAGACAGCTAACAATTTAAAACATGCATAACCCCCCCCCAAATTTTAAAACCATTAATAAGAAACTGCCCACACTTAAACACACACCATTAAACAATTTTTTTAAAGTCAAAATACATACAAAACATAAAACCAGCAAGTAAAACATTGGTCAGGAAGGCAGGATCATTGAGGGAATTTTGCCATTTATGTTGCCTTCCCAAGAAGGTCAGGAAAGTTCCTGTCCTCCTGGCATTCCCCAAATGAAGCAAAATTTTATTTAGGAGAGTGTTCTTACTAGGGATGGGCATGAACCAGCTGACAAACTAGTCACGAATTTTGGCTGATTCGTGTTCTGCAAATTGATGTTCCATGAATTCTGATGCAATTCTACGAATTTTGATGCAGTTCCAGAAATTTTGAAGCAGTTCAGGGCACTTCGTGAAGAGCAGAAAACGGGTTTAAATGGTTCTGAGCAGAAAGCAGGGGGTGAAATGCTCCCCAGGTAATTTACCCCCTTGCTTTTTGTTCGCCGCCAAAAGCTGTGCTCAAGGCTACCCAATGAGCGCTGCAAACATGTACAGATTTGAACCTATCACTGCAATCTTAAGAGAGCCAGCGTGGTGTAGCGATTACAGTGTCGGACTAGGACCTGGGAGAGCCAGGTTCGAATCCCCGTTTTGCCATGGAAGCTCGCTGGACGACCTTGGGCCAATCTCACTCTCTCAGCCTAACCTATCTTACAGGGTTGTTGTGAGGATACAGCAGAGAAGAGGAAAATTTTGTAAGCCACTTTAGGTCCCCATTGGGGAGAAAGGCTGGTCATGAATTAATAAAATAAATAAATAAGAATACTTTCCTGGGGAAAAGACCCAGGGATTGCTCCATGTCTTCTTCATCCAAGTCTAACATTGTAGCTACACCACCACCCTTGGGCCCTCTGACAAATGCATGCATTCTTTACTCGTTTTCAGGAATCTGTGACTTTTGGGAGCTGTCCTATACCTGAAATGCATAATGTCAGGAACAGATCTCAAATTTTAAAACTGTGCAGATCCACAGAGAGGTGATCAGGAAAAGAAGGGTTAAAAACCGTCTCTCCAAGCACCACGGCCCAAATCCAAAGCTCTACACTGTGTTACTTTCAGCCATTTTAAAAAGTGGGGGATCCTAATCCCACGACACGTTAAATCTGATTATCCCTCCTCTGTTTCGAGGGTTAAGAAACACAAAGCAAGGGGGATAACTGTATGGAGGAAACCAATTCCCAAAGTAAAAATGGCAAAGCAGAGTGCGACATTTAAAATGAAATATAAAAGGGCCTTCTCTGTCATTGCAGCAAAACTTTGGAACGCCCTCTCCCGGGAGGTTCGTCTGTCTCCCTCTGTCGTTGCCTTCCGCCAGCTGGGGAAGACTTTTTTGTCTTTGTTTCGCATTCCCATAGTAACTTTTATCGGCCCTCCTCTCTTGTTGTGTTATTCTGCTTATTTGTATATCTACGTTTTTATTGAATGGTTTAGATATTTGACGTACACTTTATTTTATATGCCGCTTTCAATTTTTAAATGTTTTCGACACTCACTGCCTTGGGGACGGACCCTGTTTGGGTGGAAAGGCAGCACAGGAATGTCTTAAATAAAAATACACGCCAAGCATCGGTTACGTCTGAATTCAGAACATAGACCACTTACCGCAAACATTTTCATCAAGAGGTTCTGCTGCTCCTGGGAGGCCCGGCTTTTCGCGCTTTCATCGCATTCGTATCCATTTTGGGATAAATATTCCAGGTAGTTGTGGAACAGGACAGAACGCCAGAACTGCTCCTGGAGTAAGCAGGCAAAGGAAGAAGAAGTAGCACAATAGCTCTGCCATTTACTTTAACCAGGGTTGTTTTTATGTTCAAGATTGCATAGGAGCACAGAAATGCTGCCAAACACGGAATAAAGCGCAGAATTGGGCTTCCCGAGAGGCTCAACTTTCATTAAAAAAAAAAATCTTCTCGTCCCTATGAGCAATAGATTATTTAATTATGCATTACTTTGACAACTTCTATCCTGCCTTCCTACTAAAAATTACAACAAACAATGGTGTACGTGACTAAGCAAAACTCTAAATCACCGTGTATAATTTTACAATTTTTTTAAAAAAAATTATATTATGCCAAGTGTGAATTTTTAAAGTATTTTTAGAATGATTCATTAACAAAAAAACAACTTAAGCATTAACCATGAAGCTCCACAGTACATTCAGAATGATGTCACTTCTGTAGAAATATTTACAGTCAATAATGAGGTCTTAACTAGGGCACAAGGTCCTAATGTAATGAATGCACTTATTACAAAAACAGCTACGACAAACAACGGCGTTCTAGTTATCATTCCGTTTGCGTATTCTTCATTAGGTTTGTCTGTTGTTGTTGATTCAACACAACCTTGAAGTACCGAAGGCAATGTTTCATGATTCTTAATACTAGTTCATATACTTGATTGGTGCCACGCTATTGCATTTAAGTTCTGGTGAATGGGAATTGCCAATATTAAACTATGATGTGACTAGGTCTACAGTACATTTCAAATGGCTAAATTATACACGGTGGTTTAGTGTTTTCCAATTAAAAATAGCACTTAAGGCAGCCTGCATTTAACAAAATAATTATTTAAAAAATTCTTTGTTGTTCAGTCGCACAGTGTCAGCAAGCTGCCATAAGATGCTGTTTTCATTTTCTGTGTTACTTTGGACCCTGCCCACCCCCCTTGTATTTTCCTGTGTAGGTGTTTACTGTCTTTTGCTGCTACATCTGCGGAACTGCTCAAGGTCAACCAGCTGGAGGTGGGATGGAGTGATGGCATTGCTTGGCTTATTATGTATATCATGCCTGAGAACTGAACTAGTGTTTATGTTGCAGAACCGTTGTGTTCCCAAGGAATTGGGTGCTCGTTTTATCTGTATTCCCGCCAGCGGGAAGTGGACTCATTGGTCCTCACCTGGTTCAAAGTTCCTTTATTATGTTCCCTTAGGGGGCTTGTAGTTATTCCTAACAATGCTTGTGTTCTGATCTATCATCGCTTTATAATAAACTCTACTTTGTTCTTCAAACGTGGATTTATTCGAATGCATGGGGAATCGGACACACAGTCGAGTCCGACTCTTCGCGACCCCATGGAAGGGAGCCCTCACTGGAGGAAAAGACCCCGATGCTGGGAAAGACTGAAGGTCAAAGACGGGGACGGCAAAAGATGAGATGGTTAGACAGTGTCATAGATGCAACGAAAATAAAGTTGAGCCAACTTCAGAGGACGGCGGAAGACCGGAAGGCCTGGCGTGATCTGGTCCATAGGGTCGCGAAGAGTTGGACTCGACTGTGCGACTGAACAACAAAAGAAATCCTTTGTGCCTAAACTCAAAAGTTCACCCACGTTCGAAATTTCAATTTACGTTTGGGCTTCTTTTCATTCATTTCCACACTACCAGTCCTCAAGGACTGTCATCACCACGCTCTCAAATACGTCTCTATAGACGTGAGAGGTGGGAACTTAATTAAACGGCCTGCGGAGAGTGAGATTAGAGGCAGAAATGAAAGCAAACGCGTTATAATGTTCTAGAGACTGCTTCGGGGACCCAGCGGTGTTCGGCATGTCTGACTTAGTCTCTGCGCGCCACTGATAAGGGATGGTGAACCAACAGAGCCGGAGTCGGGTCTACGTACCTCCATCTGCCCCTTGTCAGTCGCAGTCTGGCAAAAAGGAAGTTTAAAGGGCAACACAGCTACTGCAGGGCGGGGAAGCGTGGGTGGGAACTTTGCTCCTTTGCAAGGGATGCATCTGTGGAAGGGTAAGAGCATGAGCTAAGTGCAGGTTGAAGGCGGAGTCTCGGCATGTCCCTCCCACCCTTTTAGAAAAACCAACACTTCTTGATAGGAGGAAGAAGGAGAAGAAGAAGAAGAAGAGGAAGGGGAAGAGGAAGAAGAAGAAGAAGAAAGGAGGAGGAGATTGGATTTATACCCCTCCCTTCACTCAGAGTCTCAGAGCAGCTTACAATCTCCTTTCCCTTCCCCTCCCCACAACAGACACCCTGTGAGGAAGGTGGGGCTGAGAGAGCTCTCTCGAGGACCGTCCTTGAGAGAGCAGCTCTGAGAGAACTTGTGACTGATCCAAGGTCACACCAGCAGCTGCACGTGGAGGAGCAGGGAATCAAACCCAGTTCTCCCAGATGAGAGTCCACGATCCTAACCACTACACCAACCTGATCATCTTTCTTGCATTTATTTTTATCCTGCCCTTCCACGCAGGGGCTCAGGGCAGCATACCCGGGTCTCCCCTACTCCACCCCTTCTACGACTCACTCAGGGAATATTTTATTTCAGGTATCCCCGACGTCGTGCCCCTGGGCACCGGGGTGCCCACTGACACCTTTCCTGGTGCCTGCCAGGTGTTTTTAAAAGTGGGTGGGGCCTTGTGGGGCTTTTGCCCAGCAAGGCTTCCGATTGGCCACCGGAGATTTTATCGGCTGTGCAGATTTGTATAGAAAAGAGCAAGAGCCCAGCAGCACCTTGAAGAATAGAATCAGAGTTGGAAGGGACCTCCAGGGTCATCTAGTCCAACCCTCTGCACGATGCAGGAAATTCACAAATACCTCCCCCACACACACTCGCAGTGACCCCTGTTCCACACCCAGAAGATGACAAAAAACCTCCAGGATTGCTTCCTGACCCCAAGGGGCGATCAGCATTTCCCTGGGCATGTAAGAAAGAGCCACAAGAACTAAGCACTGATGCAGCCCTTCCTGCCCTCCCTCTCAGCATCTGCCTAAGTTCACAGAATCCGCATGGCTGTCAGAGGGCCATCTAACTTCTTTCTGGAAACCTCCAAAGGAGAACCCTCCTCCTCCCAAGGAAGCCTGTTCCACTGATGAACCGCCCCTGCTCTCAGGTAGTTCTTCCTAACGTTTAGCCAAAAACGCTTCTGATTTAATTTCAACCCGTTGGTTCTGGCCCGACCTTCTGGGGCAGCAGAAAACAAGATCTGCGGCAGGGCAGGAGTCTTCGTGAGTTGCTGCTCACTTCTTCAGATATAAACGTCGCTTGGACAGCAGCTGCCACCACAGCACAAGGAATTTTTCTGTGTGACTGAAGGGAAGCTGCGGCAGCCGTTTTTGTGAGTGGCTCCGCCTTATGTGGCAGCCATTCCGTGGCAGCACCCACCACGCTGTGTCAGGATTCCAAAGGTGCCCACAGGCTCAAAACTGTCTGTCGTGGGCCAGCTTGACCAGCCTGAGTCCCGTGTGGCTGAAGACTCCTCAGGAGTCGAGGAGCCTCATGCAGCCAGCTCTGAACCAGCTAAAGTTAGTGAGTTAGAGATACAGGAGCCTCAAGATTCACTGCCGGCAGCTGACCGTGACCCACCCAGGCACAGCTCTGAAGTAGCCGAGGAAGCTCAACTGCAGGAAGGTAGCCCACCAGGCTCCCTCTCCTTAACCGAACAGTGAAGGGAAAAGCTCCAACAAGACTTAAGGACACGCAGGCAGAGTGCTCGCCTCTTGGCTCGGCGCCAGCTGCTTAATGACAGCAGATCTGAGTAAGCGCAGGAGCACCTCCAGGCAGATGGCTGTGAATCAGGCTTGTTAAGGAACGCCTACATAAATCAGACCTGGAGAACGGCAGATTGCGGAAGCAACTTGTCACAACCCTGTGAACTTCGTGACCCCAACTCTGGATTCTGCCTGCCTTCTCTGACCTTTAGACTGACCCTCGACTCTGCTTTCCGGACCTGCCTGAACCTTGCTGATCAACGACCTTGGACTGCCTTGACTCTGCTTTCCTGAACAACCCCATGAACTCTAAAGACTGCTGCTAAACCGGTATTTCATCTCTGGACTAGACTCTTGACTGTGATCTAGCTCTGTTGCCTTACTCTGCCTGTATTCCACGACAGTCATGATCCTGCTGTTGTTCCGCAAAACCTCTTCCCTCTATGAAACCATTCCCAGAACGCTTTGGTTCCCACTAGAAGTCTTCCATTTATTTAGGTACTCGTGCCCCACTATTCTCCTCAATGGGAACCAAAAGCAGCAGCCTGCTACATCGTGCTCCCGTCCTCCATTTTTATCCTCATTGAGGCAACCGCCCTGGTAAGGTATGTTAGGCTAAGAGAGAATGACCAGTGGGGGGAAAAAACAAACAAAAGGCTAAAAAGAATTTTTGAAGCATGAAGATCTAACCTCACTGACATTTTTTTAAAAAAAAACCAAACTCTACAATGCATTGTGTTTTCTTACTGGCAAAAGTTGGGGTTTTTTTTTTACTGTATTCAAATAAAAAATATTTTATGCCTTAAAGTTATTTTGGAAGAGGGGGGGAAGCCACAATGACTTTCATTCATATTCATCCTGCCAGTCTGATGTGCTCTGTGGTTTTTACTGGGTTTCTCAGAAATGAATGAGTTGGAAGAGAAAGTGGAGGAAGACATCATTTTAGGTGTGGCTGGTAAAATCCACAGTTGTGGGGCGGCAGCAAAACAGAGCTTCCGCTGCCAGCATGATGTAGCAGTTAAGAGTATCAGACCAGGATATGATGAACCCGTGATCAGATCTTCATTCTGCCATGAAGCTTAGTGGGTGACCGTGGGCCACTTGTTCTCTCTCAGCATTAGCCTACCTCACAGGGTTGTTGTGTGGTTTAAATGGGGGAAGGGAGAACCATGAACACTTCCCTGACCTCCCTGGTGGGAAGGGAAGAAGAGACTGGATTTACATCCCACCCTTCACTACCCGAAGGAGTCTCAGAGCGGCTTAAGATCTCCTTTCCCTCCCCCTCCCCGTAACAGACACCCTGTGAGGTAGGTGGGGCTGGGAGAGCTCTCTAAAGGACTGCCCTTGAGAGAACAGCTCTGAGAGAACTTGTGACTGACGCAAGGTCACCCCAGCAGCTGCACATGGAGGAGTGGGGAATCAAACCCGGTCCTCCCAGATTAGAGTCTGCACTTCTAACCACTACACCAAACTGGCCCTGGATAAAACATAAATCAGGCCTTCTCAACCTTTCTGAGTCTGTGGTCCCCTTTGTAATTCTGATGCAGTGTGGTGGGCGGCAATTGCAAAATGGCTGCCGCAGGAGGCAGAGCCAACCACAGAATGTCAGGGAGCGAGGTTATGTACAACTCTTCCAATGCTTCAGGCGGAAGCTCGGCTTAACAGGACGCCTTTTAATCTGCACAGCCAGGCTGGAGCCCTCCCAGACAAGAGCCCCACCTGGCCCTGCCCAAGTTCTCAAAGCACTTGGCAGGCACAGGGAAAGTTAAGCTGACCAAGTATATTATAAAAGTACAAAATTTATTAGGGTGTACATCATATTAAAATATATTTGGGTTAAAATTTTTCAAGTATCAGTAAAGACCTTTTGGAGGGAAATTACTGAAATCATTAGGAAAGTATGCAATGTAAACATTACCTACAGACTTTAACCTAATGCTGTTAAGCACAATAGGAAGCCCATTATTGGATAAGGAAACTCAAAATCTAGTCAAGGCTATGATACTGGCGGGAAAGGCAGTGATCGCTCTGGGTTGGAAAGACAAAAGTAAATGGACAATAGAAATCTGGCACAACTATTTTGTTTGATTTTATACAGTCAGATATTGTGGAATCAATCAACAAGGGAATAACATGGGAAGAAAAATCCACTGAAATCAAGACCAGATGGAAGATCTACCTAGACTGGATGCTGAAAGAAAGAAGGAAGGACTTTCAGTGGAAGATCAAGACCCTGTGCTTGGGGGGAAAGGACTATGACTAAAAGGGAGGGAGGGAGGGAGGGAGGGAGGAAAGGGGAGAAAATGTAAATAACTATAAATACTCAATGTAACAGACTAAACAAACAATAAAAATAATTTTTTAAAAAATTTCAAGTATCAAACTAATAAAAGCATATCAAATATTAATACACATGATGGGTCAACGCTTTCCAACTGAAGACCAAACGCGTTTCGGCCTCAAAGGGCCTCCCTCAGTGGTCACTATTACAACATAGTATAGACACACATTCAAACATATGTATACAAGATCTTTAGTACACTTATATAAAGACCAGATGTTGTATCCTTACATGTTTGTAATTGTGTTGCTGGTATTAATGATGAGCCATATCCATTCCAATTATTCTGGTAACTGAGAAAAAGTCTGAACGTGTGTCCTTGATGGAGTGACACACATTCAGACTTTTGAAATCTCAGTTTGAATGTGTGTCTATACTATGTTGTAATAGTGACCATCTTCCTGTGTTATACCTCTGAGGATGCCAGTCACTGTTAACATATATGTGTTTCAGTAAGTCTGGCTGTAGATGAGGTTAATCTACTTGACAGGAGCTGACAGCTTAGAGTGACAGTCTAGCTGGCTCCAACCGGTTCTGTGCAGTTCAGTGCAGCACTAATTAACATGATCATCATGACTCAGCATTGTAAGGTGATTGGTCAACGTCTGTATAAGTGTAGTGATGTACTGTACACCCTTATCCCTTTGATGGAAAACCTGGTGTCTGCGGAGCATTTTGTCACTGTGAATAATATTTTGGTGAAGGCGGGTGTAAATAAATGTAAATAGTTTTACACTAAGCCGGTTGGACTTGCGTCTTCATTTGATACTCATACTCACTCACATTCTGCAGTGGGCTAGCACTGCGCAACCTTGACAGTTACAGCTACTGGCAGGTCCTACAACAGCTAATTATGTGGGAGTCGGTGGTCTCTTTGTCTTACTTCTGAAGACACAGGGGCCAACAAAGGCTGTTCTTTCTCTATTCCTACCATGGTCCAGAATTGAGTACGCACAGTCTGCTGAAGTCAAAGACCCTGCAGGCTCAGTTCCCTACCTCAGCTGCTGTGGGCTTTCATGGATGCCAACGATCCAGCAGTGGTCCGACTTCCCTTTAGAGTGCTCCCTCGTGTCGCAGACCGGAGTCCAAGTATTGCCGAGCCCTCTGTTCAGCATGCGCACGACGCCTTTGGAATCCACGTAAGATGGGGTACCTATTCACCATGCACACACAGAAAGCACAGGGTTGGCCAACCAGGGGTTTGGGGTTTTTTTGTATACAGCAGATGTTTTGATTCACAACTTGTCATGACGCTGAAGTGCAACATGACTCAACACCTTGCAGAATTTTATTTTTAAAAAAGCACTACAAAAACATTCTGAGAGTGCGGCTTGCTAACTTTGGAAATGACACCACCTTCTGGTGGTCGGCAGCAAATGGACAGATAGATTTGAGTCCAGCAGCTCCTAAGAGCCAGCTTTGTGTAGTGGTTAAGGGCGCGGACTCTTATCTGGGAGAACCGGGTTGGATTCCCCTCTCCTCCACTTGCACCTGCTGGATGACCTTGGGCAAGCCTAGAGATGTGAAAGCCCGGAAAAAAACTGGAAAAATTTGGGGAAAAAACGGTTTTTTCCCCTGAAGCTTTTTTGTTTTTTCCCCAAAAATTGGAAAAATTGAAAAAAGAAAAGAAAAACAATTGATTATGGAACGTTTTATTTTAACATGATAAATAAAATATTTTAAGACAAGGTGTTCAAATATTTTCCAAATCATTTCTAAAATATATAATGGTATCAGATTGATCTAATTTCTGTGCACTGAGGACAAGCAAGTCGTAGGTTACAAACTGAACTCTCCAATGCAAGAACAAGATGCATTTCTTCCTTTAGGAGGTGCGATTGTCAGAAGAAAATAAAAAGGTTTCAGTTTTGTTTTTGCATGTGCGTGGGTATTCTGTTTGTAATAATTGTTTGAGTACACTATATTTTTAATATGCTAGTTGTGATAATTTCATGCCAAGTAAAAATGTCCATAGTCATTTTTTATGTTCCTAAAGTAACAGAATGACTTTCAATCTAGAAAAGACAAAAGAAATGCTAATGTAGCATTTTTTTCAATTTTTCTGAAAATTTCCATTTTTTTCCGGGGGAAAAAACGGAAAAAACCCGGGGTTTTTTCCGAGCTTCAAAATTTCCGGAAATTTTACATCTCTAGGCAAGCCATAGTTCTGTCAGAGCTGTCACTGAAAAAGAGCAGTTTCTGTCAGAGCTCTCTCAGCCCCACCTACCTCTCAGGTTGTGGGGAGGGGAAGGGAAAGGAGCTGCTCTGAGAATCCCTTGGGTAGTGAAGGGAAGGGTATAAATCCAATCTCCCCTTCTCTTCTTCTTCTTCTAAGAGACCAACAAGATTTTGGGGGTATGAGTTTTGAGGAGTCAAACTTCCCTTCGTCAGATATGAGTAGGAATGGGGATCCCTGAGCCCTTATAGCCTGGTCAGAAGAGGGGAAGGGTGTTGCAAAGAAGGGAATCAGGATGTAGAGGCAAATGCAGAATGCAACTGGAGTTCTTCACAAATTCGGTACAGGCTGAACAGGGACACAATGTAGGGTACAAGATTCTCGTCTTGCTACAGACACTGATTTTCCAGCCCCCCAAGCGTTTCTCCCCTGCCCTAAGAAGCTGATTACATTTCGCGTTGCACCTCTGCATCCTGACCCCTCCCACCTTCTGACTGGGATATTAAAGACTCTGGGATCTCCATTCCTGCGTGTAGCTGACAAAGGGAATTTTGACTCTCAAAAGCTCATACGCTGAAAGCCTTGTCGGTCTAAGGAGCTTCTGGACTTGGATCTAGCCGGTCCACTACAGATCAGCACAGCTGCCCTCTGAAGCAGCAAATGAATTTCTGAAGTTCAGTTCTGATGGCCAACGGGGTTGCCAGGATGATGTGGAGGAAGAAGAAGAGGAAGAGGAGGAAGAGGAGGAGGAGACTGGATTTATACCCCGCCCTTCACTCGGAGTCTCAGAGCAGCTTACAAACTCCTTTCCCTTGCCCTCCCCACAACAGACAGGCACCCTGTGAGGGAGGTGGAGCTGAGAGAGCTCTTGACAGAAACTGCTCTTTTTTTTTTCAAGAACAGCTCTGACAGAACTATGGCTTGCCCAAGGTCATCCAGCAGCTGCGAGCGGAGGAGTGGGGAATCAAACTCGGTTCTCCCAGATTAGAGTCCGCGCACTTAACCACTACACCAAACTGGCTCTCTGAAGCGTTCTACAAGCGGAGGGAGGAAGGAAAGAAAAGGAACCTCTACCCCTACCATACCAGGAACATTGGATTATTTATTTATTTGTTCGATTTCTACCCCGCCCTTCCCACAAGTGGGCTCAGGGCAGGTAACAACAGATAGTTTACAAATCATTAAAACCATTGTAACAGTAGTAATTCAAATAAACCCACTGTTAAAAGATGGCAGGCTATATATTAATCTATTAAGGTCCCAGCAGTGCTGAATAGATGACAGCAAGAGTACCAACAGAAGCAACTATACCATCTCGCTTAGGTGGGCAGATGGAATAGGGCAGGTTCAGAAAAGGATGCCAGGTGATTGGGTGTGTCCACCGCCTCAACCAGAGGCCTGACGGAACACCTCCCTTTCACAGGCCCTGAGGAACTGTGATAGGTCCAATCAGGGCCCCCATCTCAAGCGCTGCACTGCTGTTGTTTTTAAATCACACACTTCCTTCCAAGGAGTTCAGGGTGGCTCACGCAGTTCTCCCCCACCTAGTCTCACAAGGACCCTGCGAGGTAAGCTGGACTGTGAGGAGGTGACAGGCCCAAGGACAACCAGTGTGGTTCATGGCTGAGAGGGGACTTAAGAGGAGCCATGTCGGATGAGGCCAGTGGCTCATCCAGCCCAACACTCTGTGTCACACAGCGGCCAAAAATACCAGGTGCCTTCAGGAGGTCTACTAGTGGGACCAGGACTCCAGAAGCCCTCCCAAGGTTGCCCCCCCCAGCACCAAGAATACAGAGCATCACTGCCCAGACAGAGTTTCCCATCTATACCTTGTGGCTAATAGCCACTCATGGATCTCTGCTCCATATGTTTCTTCCGTTCCCTCATAAGAGAAGCCCTGTTGGATCAGGCCAGTGGCCCATCCAGCCCATCACTCTGTGCCACACAGTAGCCAAAACCCAGGGGCCATCAGGAGGTCCACCAGTGGGGCCTGAACTCCAGAAGCCCTCCCTCTGTGGCCCCCCAAGCACCAAGAATACAGAGGATAAGAACATAAGAGAAGCCCGGTTGGATCAGGCCAGTGGCCCATCCAGCCCATCACTCTGTGCCACACAGTAGCCAAAACCCAGGGGCCATCAGGAGGTCCACCAGTGGGGCCTGAACTCCAGAAGCCCTCCCTCTGTGGCCCCCCAAGCACCAAGAATACAGAGGATAAGAACATAAGAGAAGCCCGGTTGGATCAGGCCAGTGGTCCATCCAGTCCAACACTCTGTGTCACAAAGTAGCCAAAACGCAGGGGCCATCAGGAGGTCCACCAGCAGGGCCAGAACTCCAGAAGCCCTCCCACTGTTGCTCCCCCCAAACAGAACATAAGTGCCTCAGACATAAGAACGTAAGAGAAGCCCTGTTGGATCAGGCCAGTGGCCCATCCAGCCCATCACTCTGTGCCACACAGCGGCCAAAACCCAGGGGCCATCAGGAGGTCCACCAGCGGGGCCAGAACTCCAGAAGCCCTCCCAAGGATGCTCGCCAAGCACCAAGAATACAGAGCATCATTGCCCCAGACAGGGTGTTCCATCTATAAGAACATAAGAGAAGCAATGTTGGATCAGGCCAATGGCCCATCCAGTCCAACACTCTGTGTCACACAGTGGCCAAAACCCAGGGGCCATCAGGAGGTCCACCAGTGGGGCCTGAACTCCAGAAGCCCTCCCACTGTTTCCCCCCAAGCACCAAGAATACAGAGCGTCACTGCTCCAGACATGAACTTGGGCATCCCAGTAGTCCAGATCAGTATGCCTATACCACATTGGCTATCCACTACCATGTTTAGCAATGGACCTCTGTAACAATGGACCTCTGTAACATCTGTAAAGATCTGTAAATTTGAGCTCCAGGGAAAGGGGAGGAGCAGCACCTGGTTTCACAGGGTTGTGGTAAGGCTTAAGATAATTGCTGCACAGCTTTTTAAAATCGCACTATAAAAATAAATTGTCATTCAGTGACAAGCAACCCCTGAACAGGTCACGACTTTTCCATGATTGTGATCCCGGAGGATTTCCCAGCTCACAAAAAAAGAAGAATAACCTGCCCCTTTCCGTGCAGACAAAGCTCTGTTTGCACAAATGCAGTTTTGGATTATACTCAGAAATGCACACACTCACAAGAGCAGGCCTCCAATACCCTGTTATAATATTTCCTGAGTTAGGCTGGCCCCCAAGCACTCCTGCAGTGCGTGTAAGACTCTGCGTAAGCAGAACTGTTTCCAGGAACGTGGACAATCATCTCTCCCCCCTCTTTCGACAGCCTGGAGATATTTCCGTTATTCTCTGGTGTGGGTTTGTGAACCGCGCTGTAGAGCCGGCCTCTTCTTCAGTACAAATCAAATCAATCTGTGCATCTTGGAAGAAAGAGAGCGAGAAATCATCTTACCTTCTGCTGAAAATCCTACCCATGTTAGATACGACTTCCAGGAAAGGGGGAGGGGGTCGCCGTGCAAAATCTGTCTCTTCTTTTTTCCGAGCTCTACCAGTTGAATTCCGAGACATTGATCCCCATCAAAGCCAGTACCTATTTTTTTAAAAAAGGGGCGGACAAGATCAACTCTTCTAAAATATAAATTGCAAAAAGAAGCTGAAGTCCTAGTGTGTGTAAAGTTTTCTCTATGTACCCATAGGAATTTGCTATATTGCCAGTCCCTCGTTGACTTTTGATTCCTGAATTAAGAATTGTTTCAGACTGCAACGGATTAAGCTACTAGCAAGTCCTACATTGCGATTTTTAAACTTTGGTTTTTATGTTTCTTGTGCATTCTATTTTATGTGTTTTATCTATATTGCAAGCCACCTTGAGTTCTGTAAGGAAAAAAGGTGGCTAACAAACATTTGAAATAAACAAACAACAGGTAAGTAAATAAATAGCAGGGTTCTTCACCCGCTATTTTAACGCACAGCGGCAACAGAAAAAGACTCCACCTCTCTGTGACGCATATTTATGGAAAAGCAGGAGAGGAACAGGCCAGGGGGGGAAGCACCTCTGTGAAAGACCACCAGCAGCTGCTCTCCGTGTCCGGCCACCGACACCACCGGCCCGGGGAGGCTGAAGACCTCTTTCTGAACTCCCCCCACTGTAAACACGCGGACGAGGAGCGCGCTGGTGGCGCACGCAGCCCAGCCCTGGCCCAAACAGATCGCTTCGATGTCTTCGTCCGGCGGCATGTCGACAGTCCATTCCTTGTTGGAATCCCAGGAGTTGAAATGGATGCAGTGAAGTTTGCTTTAAAAAAAATACATGAAGACAATAATGGGGATGTAAGGTTGACTCCTAGCTAGGGTTGCCGTCCCCTAGGTCCCGGCAGGGGGTGTTCTGGGGGCTCCGCCCCAAAGTCTGACCACTGACAGCCACTCCCCTCCCAGTTCAGTGTAGTGCTTAAGTGTGCGGACTCTAATCTGGGAGAACCGGGGGCTTTTTTAACTGATGTTTCTATTAGAATACTTTTACAGAGTTTCTCAAACTAATATTCTCTCTCTCTCTCTCTCTCTCTCTCTCTCTCTCTCTCTCTCTCTCTCTCTCTCTCTCTCTCTA